TCAAGGTAAGTTTTCCTGAGCCCACTGTTATTTCCCTAGCTGAGTCGATGGATAATGCACTCATTTTAAAGTTTTCCTTCACTGTCCCTTCCCTCCGGGATTTATCTGTCGGTTTGGTCAAATTGGGTTTCAAGGGTAGAGTGACCCTTAAGTTCCTGAATTATAACCATTATTTACTCCTTTTTGAGTTGAAAGAGGACTACAACTCGGTTTGGATTAAGACGCATCTCAATATCTTTGGATGTGCTGGTCGGGTGTTTAAATACACCCCGGATTTCTCATTTGTTGAGAATCTCCCATAGTCCCGGTGTGGTGCTGCTTTCCGGGCCTTTTACCACACCTTTTCGACCCTTCTGCCCTTTTTTTGATTGCCAGTTGCATTGGCAACCCCATTGAGACAAATGCCGCTACGACAAACCGCTCGAGATTATCTGTCGCACGGAGGTGCGTAGAGGTTGATCTTAGGGACGAGCTCATCAAGGAGATTGAGCTCGACCAAGCGGGCAAGACCACTATCCAGAAATTGGTCTACGAGAGAGTTCCACCGTTCTGCTCCCTATGCAGTCATGTAGGACATGGGGCTGCAGGATGCTATACTAGGAGCAACAAGCCCCGACCTGCTCTGCCCCCTCGTCGACGGGTAGCGAGGCAAGTTTCTAGTACCGCCCCGATGAGCCCTAAGTAGAAGGGCAAGGCCCCAGCCCATAGCCCCGACCCGAAGGGGCGAAAGGGCAAGGGCAAGGTCACCTCTGAGGGTACTCTGCCCAAGGAGGTTAACCTCGATAGGCCCAAGGCAAAAGCTACAGGCCTTTTTCCCCATCTGTCCCTCCAGTCAGCTCCCGTAGCTACCCATTCCCGCTTCTCTGTGCTTGACTCGGAGTCAGAGGAGGAGTTTCACATTTCCTCCGACCATCAGGGAGCATCGACCAGCTCCCCTTTTGATGATAATGATCTATTAGCAGATGACATAGAGACCCCCGACATCCCATTGTGTATCGAGGCCCCCCTACCTCATCAGCCCTCATGATCATAGAGCCCTCCCACCACCTTATCTCTCTCCCCTGCCCACCAGCTCGACCTCTTCTGACCCTCCCTTCCATTTCCCCCTCATCCCCCGCCAGTGGGTCTGGTCCGTCTTCATCACAGGGCCAGGCGCAGAGCTCCGAGGGTTTGGAGCGCCTCCAGCTCATCCTCTTACCCCAGGAGTTTCCCCCTATACAAGGGGGACCTTTACAGGAGATCCCGGAGCACAGGAGACCACAGACTAGATCGATGACTGCGCAGCTCTCTGCTAGCCGAGCTCTGACCCTACCAGACATACAGACACAGCCTAACCACGGACATCTCCAGTTAGGCGGTATCACTGACTTCTGACATGTCAGTCACATCGCTTACATGGAATGCCCGTGGTCTGGCTAATAGGACCACCCTTGCTCATGTTAGATCCCTCATTCGTGAGCATAACCTTGACTTTGCGGCTTTCTTAGAGCCTATGACTCGTGACCCTTCTTTTGACGTATATTCGCGATGCCTTGGTTTTCATGCCGGGATGGGAAAAACCTCTAACAAGATTTGGTTTTTCCACTCGCGTCACTTCACTTGTCAGATCCTTCGAGATACTGATCAAGTCTTGCACGTGAAGCTCACCGCCGCCCATCTTCCGGAGCCGATAGTCCACACTTTGGTTTACGCCAGCTGTGCGAGGGTTGGTCGCTATGACCTCTAGGACACCATGCG